AATGCCACAACAGCGTACACGGATACATACAAGCTACACAATGTCATGAAAATGTGCACATTTTTTGTTTTATGAACAGGCTGAACGTAGCGGAATAGGGTGGCAGTCAAGATGAGGGTGACATGCAGGTGATTCAATGATCAATAAATTCAAGTAAAACATCTATAAGTCAGGCTAGTTCAAATATCTAAGAGTTATAGCCCCCAAGGGAGACCCCCCTTTGGCTATGTGTGAGAAGTAACACAAGAAAATGCAAAACATGTGGATCATAACCAGGAAAAGCAGTCCTGCCAGGGAGATCAAGCTTTAGATTGGGCAGTTTATGCAGGGTAGGCAATGAGGTGGTACAGTGCCAGGAATAGACTCACTCCTATGATCCCGATCAGCCCACTCCTTGTGTGGGTAAAGCACAGTCCTGTAAAGATGAGCTGCAGCTTGGGCTAGTCAGTTCACTTGAATACAGATTCTTGTTTCCGGGTTTGAGGTAGTGGGGGTTTGTGTGTGTTGGCATATGTGTTTGCAGGATCCAGGGAATTGGCGTCAGGCGCTTGCTGCCTCTCGAGAGACCCCTCTTTGCCACCTTCATGGTGGGCTCCTGCCAGTTCCGTCTTCTAAGGCGGGCCGGTGCTGAAGATGAGTGAGTGGCCATCCGGTCGGCCTTACGAGTAGAACTTCACGATGAGGCGTCAGGTAAGCTCTCTGGGGCTATGGGGTGTAGGAGTGCTTCTAAACTCACCCAGAATGCGTGGAAGATCTTGTCCAGCCGGAGCTCTATTTCAGACTTTTCACCTCCAGGACTTAGGGAGCACGCTGCCTGCGCCTATTTTGCTGGCACTCGGTTCGGACCTCTGCGGCACTGCCACGCTTTCCCTGGGTTGATCTCCTTAGTGTGGACCAGGATGACTCCCGCTGGTCCGGGGGACGAGGGTCTTTGATCACGTTTCCAGCCGTGTGTGTCAGCGAGGGAACAGCCGCCTCCCACGCGCCGACCAGGCTTGTATGCCACACTAGAGAGTGAGGGTTGCATGAAGCGTAGCTTGTGTGGCACCATTCTGTGCACCGCAGTATCACCTCTCCCCAGGTAATCTTTCTGTGAGGCTTTGGGGTCAGTGGTGGTGGGGACAGCGCTGCTTTGAATTCTCACATTAGTGAGTAACCTTGACAAATATCATGGAGAATGTTTCCAGATTTTGGGTTAAAAAAGTGAAATTAATTTTAAATCAAACTTCATAGTAAATAACCCTCTGGCCTTTATTCGTTAAAGTAAGAATTGTGGGTAATTCAAGGTGAATTTCTAATTTTAGACACAAATTACCTAAACTGGAAGCACAGCTGACTCCAATAATGTTTCCACTTTTAGCTGTTCGATCTTAATAAATAACCCTGAAAAGAGATTTATTTACTAAACTTATGAATGGCAAAACGTAGGGTAAAATAGCCGATCTGGAATAATTCTCCAAATCCGCTATACTCACATTTTGGCTATTTTAGCCCAAGTCTTGCCATTCAGATTACGATTTATTACAATTTGAAGTTTAGCAAATAATCCCCTATGTGCAGCTATGGCACAATGTTGGCAGGACTGTGGCTGTTGCCTAGAATCTTTGTGTTATCAGCTATGTAGGCCTGAATTTTGCCACATTTTAATTTGTAATTTACCCGACGCTCTGCTTGCCAGCACCACCGTCTGACTTTAGCTCCTGGTGCCTCATCTGTTCCACTGGAAATCTCATCGCTGAAGAGGTCTGTGGACAATGCTACATGACACGGAGCCTGACTACACAGCTATCACTTTTATTTGCTTTGAAATTTCAGTAAAATCCCTAACCATCAATATGAACATTCCATAACGATTAGGTTTATACAGGGTTCCTTTTAAGAGGACGCCCAAGGCCTCAGACAACTGGTGTACTCCAAAACCAGGGGAAGGCAACATTCAGCTCTCCAACATTCAGCTCTAAGAACATTATGGGAAATGCAGTCCATAAACATTAAAGTATTATGGATAGCCAGCAATCTATTAGTGGGTAACCCATCCCCTAACAGTAATATGCGTCGGCTGAGCATACTGGGGGTTGTACATCACAAACACCAGCCGTGCCAAAGCTAACAATTTCTGTCCTAAACGCTCCACCCTGCCATGAAGCATACAACCATAACGTTCTCTGCACATTTAATTTGGGGTTCATAGCATTGATTGCTTCTTACACCCTATTTTGATAAAATGCTCCTTTGCTCGCTGATCACCACCACACGTTCTCTGGCGCAGCAAGTGGAGAGCATTGAATTTCATGCTTCCCACGTAGGATGACTTGGGGTCCGCCTGCACACTGGGCAGTGATTGGAGCATTAGACGTACTAAACCTGAAACGTTATAGTGAATTGAAATCCAGATTGCTAAATTAAGGTAAAAGTAGCCAATTTGGATAGATTCTCAAAGTGAGCCACAGACTCAGAATGGCTATTTTAACTTACATTTCGTACTTCGCTGCTAAATCCACAGCAATTATCTGTTTACTGAATGAACCCTGATAAGATTTATTAAATTAGGGGCTTATTCGCTAAATACTGAATTGTAGAAAGCTTAAAAAGTAAATTGGAAAATTGAGACCAAAATGGCAGATTTTTAAATAAACCTCTACCTCTGCAATGGTCATCACAGCTTGGTGATTTGAGTCTGAATATTGCAAATCGGGTATTAATTCACCTCAATTTGCTGTTTAGTGAGTAAACCCCTAAGGTGTGTTTTGTAATAAGTTCGAAGTTAATTTTAAATTTTAGACAAAAACAGCTGATATGGAAAAATTCTCCACATTAGCTTTGTTTTCAGATCAGAGAGTTTGACCTAAATTTGAAAGCTGAAACATAATTTCACATTTTACTGAATACCTAATTGTGTATATAAGACAAGGAACCCATTAATTAGTTACAAATGGAATAAACTGGAGTTATCACTGCTTAGAAAATCCAGGCCTCCCAACCTTCCCGATTTCAGCGTGACAGTCCTGATTTTAGGTTCCTGTCCCACCTTCCTGACTTTGTTGACTAGAGTCCTCAAAATTGTCCCCAAAGATCATAGTGTCAGCACATCACTGGGTACATTCGCTGGTCTGCACCCATTTTACTTTATCCACTTGCATCACAGAACGCCAACATTGGGGGTACCTATAGATTGTAAGCTTGATTGAGCAGGGTCCTCTTCAACCTATTGTTCCCGTAAGTTTTTTGTAATTTTCCTATTTTTCGTTAAATTCCCCTCTCATAATATTGTAAAGCGCTACGGAATCTGTTTTTTTTTTACGTCTTCAGGCCAGAGTGTGAGCCAGGAATTTGTTATGAGTATAAACATAACATGCTTTGGTGTTAATAGTGAACATAACTCATTGAAAGTTTAAATGTGCAAGTCACCTTGGGCTATGTATAAAACAAAGACTGTGGCAGAATTTAATTCAGGGAAAATTAGATTTTACATATCGTACTATTTTCTTATAAACTCAGGATACTTAAAACATGCGAAAGCTACTAAAGGCGGGTAGATTAGATAGTAAGCTCTGCAGGAGAGGGGCTTTCAATGCAATGCTGTATGCAGGTCAAATGTCACAGCAGCTATCTCGCCCTGCATCTACTATACATTATTTAACTTTCATGTTGTTAGACTAGACGTGGGATATAAATATGTTTTAAAATGAGGGGTGGAGGGGTTCAAAACTGGCATACAAGAGGAAAAGGAAATGAGTGGAATTGTGGTGGGCTCTGGTCACAATTTTTACATGCCAGGACTATTTGGCACTGCGCTACATTGGCAGTGATATGTGAGGTAATTAAGGGGTTCCTGTTATTGTAATGGAGCCTAGGCAAGGCCCAATATTTCAGGAATTCCAAGTAAACATTCATAATTGCAGTACTGTGTGCGTGCCGGGCAACAATTAATTTGTTGTTAAATTTCACAGCCATTTAAAGAAGAAATGAGGGAAAATGCCCTGTATCGGGCTTGGAACGGTCAATAGGTAGGTTGCCATTTTGAACTAAATCTCCCAGAATGCTTAGTCAGCATTGAGGTACTGCATTATGGCCATCACATTGCCTAAGCCATTTGTATCATGGGACCTGGAGTTCTACTGTTTAAAATAGGTATTTTTTATACAAGAATACTAAAAGACATGTTGCATTTGTAAAACTGTACGTTAGAGGATATGGTGAAGAGATTAAATTCAGGGACAGAGTACCCTCTGCTTGCATTGTTGTGAATTTACACACAGACTGCACAAATCATTTTAGAATTTGTCAGATTATATGTGTAACCTGCTAAACTCAGGGAGTTAAGTATGAATATTGGCGCATTCACGTTTACATTTGCTCCAGTTTATGAATCCGACATGTTCTTATGTTTATAAATGTTTCCACTTTTACTGCAATTCGACAAAATAAGCAGAAGATAATCTTTCTGCCAATTTATATTACTCTTTTTTCTTTTTAATCTTGATGATTTGGGAAAAAACAAACACGCATTTGCAAATTTGAAAGATTTTGCCTTGTTTCAGAATATCTGCCTCTGTCTGTGGAGAAAAGGTTTGGTGGGGGGGTGAGGGGGGAGACAGTCTTGCATCTTTTGAAGTGTTTTACTAAAAGACATTGACAGTACTTCTAGTTAAAACGGCAAAAAGGTGCAGGACAAAATTGTTGGGAAAGCATACAAACTGAAAAACGGTGTTAAAGACAAAAGAAAATATTGACGCAAACAGAACACGTAACAATTATAGCATGAAAGCAGCACGCTACATTATTATTTAATATATCGCCAACACGAACAGGTGGACTAACAGACACGTATTTGTAACCAGACGAGTTAGATGCACAGGAACAGAGGGGTTGAGGGCAATACTCAATGAGTTTACATGCTAGAGGGAGTGGGGTAAAGTGACACAAAAGGCGGGGGTACAAAGGTTGGTTGAATAGTATTCACTGAAAACTTAGTGGGGGTTTTAATGTCAGTTGCAGAAGAAGAATCAGGTTGTGGGGGGAGCTATTAACAGTTTAGCCGATACGCTTTCCTGAAGAAGTGAGTTTTCAATTATTTTTTTGAAGGAGTGGAGACTGGGTGAACGTCTAACTGAGGATTCCTGATTCATTTTCAAATTGTTCAGGACTTCTCTCCCATGCAGTCAGCCCCCACACAGCGATGGTAGGAGAATTTAGTCAATTTTGGCATTTACTGAATTTCTGCTTTTATTTTACTAAATTTAGTGGCTTGGTTAGATAGTTGGTTAAATATTTTCTACCAGTGTTTTTCCCAGCCCTGCACCATTATTATTCGATCTATATGTACCTGCTTTTGGTGTCACTCCAGGTTAAACATCCATCCTTTTGGGAGTGCAAATATTGCTGCGCATAACGAAATTGTTACAATATCACACTATGTTTTATTTTATGTCTTTTCTGTAGATTTACACAGCCATATCCCGAATTGTTTGTTGTGGTTTTCTATATATGATACAGGTCGCTTCTGGGTAACGACCTAGGAAGGCTGTTATTCGTGATCTAAAGTTAAGTACCACTCATTGTAAAATATTTTACTATTTGTATTTTTCACCTTTTGGTGATACCTCTGTTGGTTAAACATCCTTCCTGTCTTAAAAGGTCTGCAAGACAAGAGTTCTGCAGGTTTTGCAAGCCGTTTTAGATATACATTATTTAATTGGGGGTTTAATTATATGCACGTTTGTTTATATTGGGGGCATATTTACTAAACCATTATTTCCAGGTTTCTGTTTATTTGGTCTGTGGAGTGTTCCTTTAAGATCATAAGCTTTACGGTATCCATTACGGAGCTTCCCAGGAGCTCCAGAGTCCTTTTGACCCACAGGAAGGTCCTAGAGGCACAGCTCGCCTGATCGGGAGCAACCTCCAACTCCTCTCGAACTCCGGATCGGATCACGGAGTGGTTGTGGTCCAGTAAAAACTTTGTCGAGGGCGCTCTCGTTCCCAGAGTCACCTATTATAGCACTATTTGGATGGGTGATAGGAAAGGTTGTGAGGCATCCAACGGTACCCAGGATGTGACGGAGCTCCATGTACCAAGCGAAAGCACCATCGATTTAAGTGAATTTCCCCCCAAGCACTATGGAACTCTGCGCCAGATTGGCGGACTGCCATAGCCTGGTCAAAATTTAAATTTCCAGTTAACTCAGGCCAGCCACCTTTTGGACAGAGTGGATTCTCTGAAAAAAAGCTTTAAGGGGACAGCATTTATTAGTCAGCACCAAGGTATCTGGTGATTAAATTATCTGGTCAGAAACTGACACCTAGGGGCTAGGTATGTCAAGTATGTATTATTCTACTGGGGACCTCCTTTTGAGGACCCAGGTATAAAAGTGTGCCGTTTTCCCCAATAAATATAGTTCTACGTCACTACAATAAGCCTCGTCTAGTGCGTGTTTGCTTTAACAGCTATAATACTCTACTATGATCCCTGAGCTATAATCACTGAACAAAAGGGAGCTCTGCGGAAAAATACTAAAAAATAGTTTGTTCATTTATGTACATTTTTAGGGAATGATTGTATACATTCTAACAAAAACAATTATATACTTTCTAAAAAGGTGGGATCTGGTATCAAAAAGACTTTCAGAAGTATCCTAAATACTTTTGTATCAAACCAAAAACCCCACAAATACCTTAAACTACATATAGCAGACACTCAATTCGATTTCATAGTTTTATTCATTTTAATGTTTATTAGGCACAATTCTTCACATTTTGTTTTCTAATTTACAAATACGTTTCATTTTATATCTATGACATCACATCAGGAAGTCTCCTGAAAGTGTTACTCCATTATCAATAAACTAGGTCCATCATTTGTATTCATTACATTAAAAAAAAAAAATACACAACATTAAAATGATCAGACAATTAAAAGCAATTTCTGTAAAATTTGGCTGTGTCGGTGGTGTGGGGCAGCATGGTTCCAAAAGCACAGAACGTGGAGTGGTACTCACACCAACACAAAAAGGTTCAGAACTAAAATACTAAGAGAGAGACCTGAGTAATACCAATCTAAGTGTAAAGGTTACGAACGCTTCTAGAGTTTAAAGGGAAAAGAATTGGCGTATTACTTGTCCAAAATGGATTTTCTTTACCGTTAGCCAGTTTCACAGTTTTCTTTCTCCCCCCCAGGTTTTTATAGCTATAAGCAGATCCAACACATTTATGTTAATTTATTTAGTGTATCTGTGGTTAACATCTGCAAGCTAAAGTATCACTTTTTATTAAGCTTACATTTTATCTATAATTTTCAGTTTACAATAGGTCATTAGAGGTCATGATTAGATATCTACTTTAAACATTGTTTATTCCCCAGCAATCTGTGAATTAGGGGTTGCTGGGAGTTAAAGGGATAACTGCATTATTCATCTTGGCTGGATTCCAGTTTAACACTGACTTTCCCACTTGTCCCAGTGGAGTCCCCGTTGGCCTGATGGCCCAGCCTGAACCCCCAAACCAGCTGTGATTACAGGGAGTTACAGGTGGTCCCAGTGATCTACTCCGTAGTTATGATTTAAAGATGGACGTCCTGCGCCCCAAACAGACGCTACGCAGGGACCCGGATCCCAAAGTACTTTCTCAGCTGCTCCAAGAACACGAAAGTTAGAACAGTATGTGGAACGAGTCGGATCCCAGCTGGTACGAGACCCTGGAACAGAAAGGGAAGAGGGGAGATTGAAGTGAGACTAGGGGTGTGCAAACATGTGACTTCTTTCAGATAATACATTAGGAGTGTTCCATCTAAAGAATGCCACGATTTCTAACAATGCATAATCTGCTGACAATTTTAACTTTGCTCCAGTGCAGTATAAAGATATCTAAATGGAATTTATACAGGAGAACACAATATAACACATAGGGGATATTTTCAATTCTCAAATTGTCTGCATTTTAGTAAAATAAACTAAGAATGGCTTTTGCATTTATTTCTATATATAAATCAGCTTTTTCTGCTTTGTCCAAGTTGGTGTATAGCTGCATATTTATAGCGCATTAAAAAATAAATAAAAATTAAATAAATAATTCTTGTGTAGCGGACTAGCCCCTGTACAAGAGTCTGTCCCGGTTTCCTGGAGGGGGCTGCTTGCTCGCCGCCTGCCCAGTGATTATGGTCCCGGGAAGATGGGACCCTTTAAACACAATGGAGGTTGGCATGGCACTGGTGGCCCTTTTGAGAGCCATCCAAGGACATATGGAATAGCAGAGACATTGGACTGTACAGCGGATTCATTATTACTTTGCTATTTAACTACTAAGACTTCCGTATGTATTTGTCATAAGGCTTTTGTGTGGATTTAAAAAGCCTTTGTTTGATTGTTCACCAAAAACTGTACTGACTCCCTGCATTTGGTGTACGAACTAAAACTACCGGACCACCCTGATGCTTCAATCTACCTCCCTGTTCGTCTAATACAATCTTATTAAAAACTGTGAACGCTTTGTTCAAGTCCCTGGGTAGCCGCCATTTCATGAGTTTAACAAGTGGCAGCGGCCATCTTAAACTCCCGAACAGCTGTGTTTTGCCGTTGAGTGTCTGGAACCAAAAAAAAAAAAAAAAAATTTAAAAAATAAAATCGGACACTCGACTAGGCAAACACCGCTGACACCTCCAGACTTCTATAAATTCGTGCCGAAACTAGAAAGACTAATGCAAACATGGGGATTCACACGAACACCGATATAGCCATGGATGACAAACATTTTGTGGCTTATTCCACGAACGGAGACCGACCGCAAGGCCAAAACTTATGGAACTATTTTTGGCTACTGTTGCCTGTGTGGTCAGTCAAAACTTTAAAGCCCCATAACTCCCAAGTTTTGAATATGTTACTCACCCAGATCAGGGCTATCAGGGGATACCACCCTATGTATTTGGGGTGCATCTAGAACTTGGGGGAAAATCTGTACAATTTAATTCTGTTAACAGATAAGCTGATGTTAGGAGATGTGTGGGTTGTACCTTGTACTTGATTGGTTAATGTACTAATTGTGGGTTGCTCCCTTGCATGGCAGCATTGCATAAAAGCAGGGGTTGTCTGATTAAAAGTTAGGCCAGTTCTGCTCCTGATACTGTGTGTCGTCCAGTTATTGGGAAAGGTGATGGGATATAATTGGATTGTATTGCCGATTGTGCTTGCTACGCTGTTGGATTATTCTATTACTGTGGATGTTTCTCCTGGGGTTACTACTTGTTCCTGAGTCACACCTGGACTACCAGCGGAAATAGTTGGTGAGAGACCAGCGTTCCGTTACATCTTGAATGTACCCGTGACAGGGAGTACCCAATAAACTACAGTAATATGGCCATGTGACTCTTTATGAGAAGTATGTGAGCATAAATCTCTCTGTGAAGACAAGGTATACGACAGTATATAACATACCAGAAAAGCTACAATGGGTGGATAGAGTCGGAGAAATCCATGCCATGGAGACTATGACCGCAGACCTCCAGGGCAGGTCAGAGAAATGCAACCAGACATGGACTCCCTGGCTCATGTACACCACGGTGGCTAGAACAAACACCTGAGTCCCATACCCTGACCCTCGCTCTCCCATCCACTTTGACCACCCTCACCCAGTCTTTTTCTCCCTCTTTCTCTCTCGCCCTCCGCCCACTCTTCCTAACCTTCTCCTCCCCTATGACTCGTACCAGACAGGACAGACCCACACCCAGCCACCGACCGTACCATACGATCTAGGCATAGACACACATAGACGCCACAGCCAGGACTAACCCGATGATAACCAGCAGAAGGGACCCCCCACAGACGGGGTGACATACAGCCCGCACCCGGGAAGACTAGACGCTGTGCGGTCCACAACCTCTCACGACGTAGCCCGGGCTACGGCATGCATAACCATTGCAGAGACCAACACCTGACCCATAGAACCCTGATCATTAGCGCCGCAGAGCCACAAAAACGAGAGAGGGACACGCTACCAAAGGTACCTGACACTAGCGAAGTGCGGATTGTGGCACCATATCCCTATAATTGTATTTGCCCTCCTTAGCTGAACTCTCACAAGATGCCAATCCACTATTGTAAAACACGTCCTGGGTGTATGAAAGTATGCTGTAGACAATGCATATCCTTAACATAGATCTGACTGTTCTCCCTCTCTTCCTTTCTGTACCCTTGCTTAACAAACTACTGAAAATAAAGATCGTCAAAAAAAAAAAAAAAAGCTACAATTTCTGGGGAAATTGTGTGAAGTGTTCTTGCCTCCATCAGTAGTCTACAACTGGAGTGGGCGGAGTAACTGTTATCATTTATATAGCACATTTAATTGCAACGTTGTTGCCCAAAGTGCTTCACAGTTACATTAAAACATACATTTATAAAAACATTACCAGGTGTACAAAAGGCCCTGTCTATGACATCACTTGCTGCTCCAACCTGGCACAGGTCAGAGTATTTTGGCGGTTGCCATCTTCAAACGGTCGTATTTTAAAAACTATAAATCCTACAGCGAAGAGCTTTATATTGTGAGAATCACAAGACCCAGACCTACATTTTGATGCATAGTATGTCTCTGAAGTATTAAAAATGAAGGCACAGTCGCAGTTTAGAAATTGCCCTTCAAATTTGAACTGGCTAGAGTGGAGTTTCAATGAATGTCAATGGACGGCGTTAGTTGCAAACAAATGATTATATTGTGAAAACTATCAGGACTATGGCTTAGTCATGGACATTTTTAGTGGCAGCAGGGATAGCTGAACGTTATGATATAAGATTTGTGTAGGTGGGCCTGAAAATAAGGGAGTGGTGGCAGTTTAGAAATCATGTCCTGATTTTCCAGCTTTTGCCAGCTCCCACTCTAGCTTTGCCATTCATTCCTATGGGACAAATTGCGCCACAAGAACGACGATATTCCGTGAACCATTCGGCGAAACGTTCCACAAAGTAATAGCAATCCGATCGGGAACAATCTGCACGTTTTGGTAAATTTTTGTCTATGTAGTGTAAAAACTGTGGGAGGAGTTAGGGTGGCAAATTTGGCTATAATAAGAATAAGAATATATATGTGAGATAACATTAAGTGGTCTTGCTATGCAAGAACACTTAATTATGGAGTAAACTGCCACTGTCCTCACCGCGGATTTTAATCATGGTGTTGCCTGATATTACGTAGTTGAAGCGGCAGATTATTGAATCTCAAACCAGCCCACAAAGAAGACAACCAATAGACCTGAGTGTTAGGGGTCAGCCAAGTCTGATTAAATTGGGAGATTGATAAAACGTGGCCCATCAGTGGTTCGAGAAACCATGGAACAGAATATTCAGTGCAAATCTTACCTTGTAGAAAGCCAGGGGTCCCAGTTTAGCAGTTTCCAATGCACAGTGAGCAACTCCCTAAAAACATATAGAAATAAGAGTATGGTGAACAAAAGCGGTAAAACAAAAACATTAATGATACAAAGCTGGGATGTAGTACAAGAACACTATTACAATTACTTATATAGTGCCAACAGATCCCATAGCGGTGTACAATAGCTGAACAAGACAAACATTTAATTCTAAGAAAATATGATTAATATACTGGAGCCGTAGGTGAACGGGGTTCTGACTAAACAAGCTTGCAATCTAAAGGGATGAGTAAGACATACACAAAGAGAACTGTATGTATCTGAAAGATGGGTGTGGGTGAGTTAGGGAGAAGGAGGCACAGTGGATAACTAAACAAATAAAATCAGAATTTAAATCAACGGAGACTTTGCTGGGTTATTTGTAACCACTTAATATCCAAGAGGCCAGTAACATATTTATAACAAAAACCTCAAATGGGTTTCTTGGCAAATGGCAACGCGAGCAGGGTTTATATATTATTTATTAACAGCCTTATATCAGAAATTTCTAACTCAAATTATATTCTGGGAGTCGTTTAGTGCATTCTTGGAAGAAAAAGAATAAATAGAAAACCCTTTAGCCAGTCCTTGTATTTTTGTTTCATTCAATAGGAGGGCTATACTTTCTGAAGAGCACGCTAGTTAGCTTAATCAGGCAACTCAATGGCTCAAGAAACTCCTATTTCAATTTCAGGGCCCGACCTGCTGAGTTTACCAGTCGAGGAGTAAAGTACACAATAAACAAACCCAACATTCTAATGATGGGTTCACAATACTGGATCACCATGGATCCTTGCATAAACTCTACAACACCAATATTTTATTATATAATTTTAATATGGAATTTAACTAGAGGATTTCTCACGTCCAGGTTAATCTCTATCCAGATCACGGACTTCATTATAGAGATCTCAGAGAATAACTCACTCTGTATTCGCCCTTGGAGTTCATTAGTCGCGTCTTCATGACGTCGAGCGGCTGGCACAGGAATGTGGCACATCCTCCCTATGGGGGAGAGCAGGGTATTGGTTGGGGCGAGCCGACACACACACACAAAATGTAAACAGGACCTTAAAATAGATGCAGGCTAGTGACAGCCATGAGAGCGCTACACACGGTTTTAAAGATAAATTTAGAAAACATTAATTTGCGAACACCTCAGTTATGTGGTGATAAACCGTACTCAAGTTTAAAATTGTAATAAATAATCTAGTAACAGGTAAATAAAGAGTACTCCAAAACACTTACCGCAATGGAGCTAGCCAAGAAGTGGGTGAATATATTATCAGTCAGGAAGCCTGTGGTCAGAACCAGCTGTTTTGCCTGATCATAGCACGCCAACTGCAAACATGTGTAGAAGGATCAGAAAGAGAACTAAGACTATGGTAAAGTGGGCGACAAGGACGAGGCTTTTCAGGAAGACAGATATGAGATACGAGACTGAGAGGTACTTCGAGAAGGCAGAGGATTAAGGTGACGTAGTATAAAGACTGGTTAGAATATACACAGGAGAGCATGTTTTTTTTTGCCAAGCCATAGCGCAGTTCTACAAAATGCACAAGAAAAACATTAAAAAAAAGCTAGATGATGTAGAAGAGAGGAGGGTAAACAATAATTTTATTGTATTTTTTCTGGTACTTTACGGTGTTTGGATTTCAGTGGGAAGCAGAGGGCGCACATGTGGCCTGATGGTGTAACCCAGTGTCTATTCACCAAACCGTGAGATCAGTCAGAAGCTAAGAGAAGCATGGCTATGACATGCTGCACTGAAATCTGATAACACGATCCTCTGCAAAAAGCACATCTGAGCCTACGGTCCCTTTAAATTAGGATGAAACGTTACTCCATCTTTTCCCAGGGAGTGAAGTTCATGGGCAGGAAATGTGTGGCACAGATGGGAACATAGTGAGATAAATGAACCAGGGCTTAAAATATAAATTTCTATACCACTAGCCAGGCCCTAAAATAATATTAAATTAACATGTAAATTTCTATTCTCCCGGGCTAAAATAGAGTAAAGACTAACTTTTATCGGACAGCAGGGCTTATACATATAGAAGTGGTCTTACCTGCCCCACCGTCACAAGAGCACCACGGCTGGAAGCCATCGTAGCCCCGGAGAATAACTTCCTGAAGCCCTCTAACGAGAAGAGTTAAAAAAAAATAAAGTCAGTGGTGGAAAAGACACAGCAACCGACTATAAAGAACACCATTTACAGAACGACTAATGCTTAAAAGGACAAAGGTCACTTCCAATGATTTCCAATATTATGTTAACTTGTGAAACCGACCATATTAGTGGCTCGTCAAGAATTTAAGAGTCGGACACACAAGGCTCTAGCCCAGCATTTAGTAACCATGCACCCCAAATACTTCTAAACTACATTTCCCAGAATGCTCGGTCAGATTTCAGGAAATCTAGTTTAAGAGTGCCCAGGTTAGCCTTCACTCCTCCAGCTGTGGGAAATACTGACCTTCGCGTATGACTCGTACCATCCCATCCAGGGCATGAGCATAGCTGTAAGGAGAGAGAGGGAACAGCGGGTTAAACGAGGACAGACATTTAAACAGCCGCGCTCTGCCAGCCGGACTGGACGGCTCATTGGGGCCACCGATGTGGAAAGAGAGGGTCTGTTTCAGTGGGCTGGGCAATGCACGCTCAGGTACAAAAATAAGGAATATCTCTCTCTCTCTCTCTCATTACTCTTATATAGCACCAACATGGTCTGCAGCCTAGTGTAATACCTAGGTGATACTAGCTTTGTGACAAATCATGGGTTAGTGCGTATTGGTCTGAGCAGGCACAAACTGGGTATTTCATGTACAGTATGCGGGCACAATGGAGCAGGACAGTTAAAGAGGCCGTGCACAAGTAAAAGAAGACAGGAGAGTGGTGGGTGGATAAACGTTACCCAAAGATTTTGAGGGGGGTGGGAGGGGGAGGAGGAGTGGTGGAGGAATATACGATACCCATAGATTTAGAGGGTGGATGGGAGAGTGATGGGTGAATATATGAAGCCCATAGATTTAGAGGGGAATGGGAGAGTGGTGGAGAAATATACGATGCCCATAGATTTAGAGAGGGGAATGGGAGAGTGGTGGGTGAATATAACATGCCCATAGATTTAGAGGGGGGGGGGTGGGATAGTGGTGGGTGAATGACAGTTTCATGGTTTATGTTTCCAGAAACCCTCAGCTGCATTTTTTTCCCATAATACACAGATCAACCATGTATTCACTACATAGAAGTGTATATACACAAAATACACACACATGCCATCTTACTTGCGTCTCAGATGTGCTGGAAGTTTCATGTCATTCTGCATCCTGAAAATTAAATAAAAACGACATGAATATAAACAAGAAATCACTACGTTTACAAACCACCTGCCTTGCTCATGTCCACATTAGAATATTAATGAAAATCAGGTAGGGGCATAATTATAATTGGAGTGTGACCATCAACTGAGCATTTCTTTCAATCAGTTTAAGACCTAAATGTGACAGTCTTTAGAATGGGCGTTCTGGATCTACATTTATATTCGCTGCTCAGTTAAAAAGAAATAGCTCTTTGAATTCTCTGATGATGCCAAGCATGCTCAAAGATAGCTGGATTTTTTTTTATATTAAAAAGAAAAAAATGAAACACACCAAATCGGCACATGGTACAGAGAGTTTTTAATGTGCAATATGATAGAACAGAATTGCCAAGAATAGTTTTGGTGATCCACCATGTGCAGGCTCGGAATATTAAAAAGCGCTCGCCACCAGATTGCTACAAGAACTGCAGGTGCATTAAATTCTACTAGAGCCGGGAGGGCCAGCAAAAGTGGGTTCCATCTGTTGCAGAACTACAAATCCCAAGATGCTTTGCCAGACTCTCGCTATCCCTTTACTGGAAGATACGAACGTGAGTCACACCCAAACTAATCAGATGTTAACACAGGTCTCGCATTTCCTGATGAGAATCAAGGCACACCTAGAAACTGCGTTGTGTATTAACAGTTTGAACATGCTGATGCACATCAAAACACATGGAGATGAAAGGTTTTGCCTCAATTTTATTTTTTTAAATTTATTTATTTTTTAGAAACACAAAGTGCCAACAAACACTTAAAATACTAGTACCCTCCTCCCAAAATTCGGGAGATCACTATAAAGAGAAGACAGATTATGCACACTTAAAGCAAAGTTACGTACATTAGTTACTGCCTGGAGACATTCCATAAGTTATTAATTACAATTAAACTAATACACACACACACACACACACCAAATTAATAAACAGTATAACAATACTTTAATATTAGTTGTATAAGCCCAGCTTTGAGATATACAGGTTTTACCTGCAGTGCTAATACGCATAGCGCCACCTGTTGGCCATTTCCGGCACAGATTCCCTGTCCTGTACTGCCCCGGCTACACAGACAGTGGTCTGACAAGGGAAGCAAGTCTGTACATACATGTTTTTGAGATTAGGTATCACACGTGTGCTGTCTGTTAGCAAGGTGTGGGCAAGGAAGTGGTAAAGAGCTGGACAAACCTCCAATGGACACTAATATTTTAGATAATGAACTACAACACAAATCAAACAAATAACATCAGAGATGTGCAAGAAGCCAGGGCCCCGAGTACTCTCCCGTATCCGTAATGAATTGGCAGGAGCCGGCCTGTGTCTGTCAGTGACAAACAAATAGACAGTGATCTCAAAATCACCTATCACAGCACCCAAATACTTGGATTCAGTTCCACCACATGGCCATACCGTGTAAGCCCACCATTATGTCACAGTATCCCCAGTATTGCTGGGGCCTACGCTAATTTTAACATGGGAGATATGCTTACTGCAATACTTACAGCTTTGTGTGCACACTGTTCCTTTATTCTGTATATAATTTGTCCTTTACAGCAGCACCATGTTCTGGGTGTGCCCCCACTATCCCCCTTTTTTCAGGGTACACGTTTACCCCTGGTGATTATGCAATGCACCCTCCAGGCTCGCACTATCTCATAGAAGAGGACTGGACATGATATAGAGGGTCCTTTATTAGAGCCACCATTGCAGGATTGACAAATAATCATTTTAGAGACAAGTGTTGCTAGCTCAACCCTTATTGGTTGTAATAAAGGCACATCGGCAACTGTAGAAAGACTTCTATATTTATGAGAATGCGGTCTGAGGGTGTTCAGAATGATGATCCCTTAAAGTGGGTCAGTTGTTGCTTCTCTGTGCATGTTGTGAAATCAGAGTGGGATTAGCAGGGGTGTCTAAACTACCAGCACATGAATCATCACTGCACAGGCAACACTATACACACGCCTACAGCATTACAGAGCAACTCCATTGTAAAAATCCTATTTCTCAACTACACAGCTTGTCACAATCTTATTGCCAAATACTATTAAAAAAAAAAAATGCAGTCACTTGCTCTTACAGTGCCCTACACAAAAAAAACAAACAAAAAAAAAACACCACAATAAACCACTCCAACAATTTATATAGAAGCACAAATCCCAGCAGAATTTAACATGTCCTAGAATGGCACCCCCCCTTCTGGTCAATGATGGAAGTACAGGTCCAGAATCAGTCAGAACCAGGTTGCTGTCCATTAGAGGGATACAGTGAAATACATTGTGGCAGATTAATTCCATGGGGGATTTTATCGGATTCATTCTACAATACGTGATCATTTGAGAAACAACCTCTAAAAGACTCACCGGACGTTCACCATATCTGCTGGGGTCCCCACAAATCCACCAGTAAATCCTTAAGAAATATAGAATTATACAAAGATTAATTTATTTAAACTGGGGGAAACTGATCAGGCCAATTCTAAAATTTTCAGCTGAAATAACATTGTTAATGTTTAAGAAAAAAAGTAAATACGAAAAAATACCAAAACTAGAGTTTTTATAATTTGCCATTTGACCTAAAGTTTGCGTTTTTATTGTCAATTCTCCACAGCTCCCAGTTTACCCAATAAATCCCTTTTATTTACCGAAATCACCAAGAATGACCTTCCCCCTCATTCTCCAAGACAACACACACACACACGACCTTGAAGGCTTCAAACTCAACAGTGCCTGTAGATGGCCTGCGAGTAAAATGGAGGAACCGCCACCCTTTATAATGTTATATTTAGCTTGTCTCATGCTGCAGGGCCCTGGGAACAGCTTATAACATGTATATTGATCGAAAAAACGGATTTAAACTTTATAATTCTTTTTTTATTTCAGAAAGTTAGGGATAAGTCAAAATGATTTAACACTGTGAAAGGTCAACAGGACAGTGTGGGTTCTCAGGGGGCATGTTAACTAAACCGTGAAATCAACAAAGACACACTGAGATCTAGACAAAAGTAGCAGGCAGAGTGGTTTTAACACAGGGGTAATGGAGCTGCAGCTCCAGGCTTAGGCCCATGAAATAGGCCCAGCCAAGAGAGGATTTTAAAAGTCCACCGAATAGCACACTGAATTCTGAGTAGCACAATTGAGGCTAAAATATTCAATCTGTGACTAGAGCCAAGTTGGAGAATTATTCCAGATCAGCCATTTCTGCCTGAATTTTGCTTTTCAGATTTCGATTTTCTATACGGAGTTTAGTGAATACATCCCTAGATACCTTTCTGCAGTAGGATATAGAACAAACCATTTAATATTAGCCATCACACAGCCAACATTACATTTCTCACCCCCGAACGCTCCCAGAAGCACCTTCTGATAGAAAGGAAGTGGGCCTTTACTGTCCTGGGCTAGACGGTCTCTCACAGTCTCATAGATCGCGAAGCGCGTCATGGAATAGGTGATCTATGGAAAACAGTGAATTAAAAAAAAAATAAAAAATAAAAAAATCCACAACCACAATAAGCGTAAAACAGAGAAATTAAAGTGACACTGTCACCACCTGGGGACTTTGTAGAATTCAGTGGCAGGTAAATGAGAGTTTTACTTACCTGGACCTGTCCGTTGCGGACACGGCCATCTTCCTGCGGCGGATCCTCTTCAGCCCTTGGAGCAGATGTCACTGCTGCACATGCGCAAGAATACAGCATTGAGATCTATGGAGGGTCCCTCGATAGAGCCAATTCCCTGCAGCCGTCACTGGTGACAGTTGGAGAGATTGATACTTCTAGATGGCAGTAGCTCTGCCCAGTGTCAGGCGTAAGAAAAAAAACTGAGACAAAGTGACAGTGTCGCTTTAAGACTAATAAACAGAAATTAATGAATAAATGGATATTAAAAGTGACACTGCTAAAGGACTAATGCTGTAACACACATAGGCTTCTGTCACTTTAAACTTTGCAGAGACTCATGGGAGCTGTGGCTCAGACTTTGCAATTATTCAGCTGAAAACTAAAGCACATTATAGAACATAATTTGCTTTGGCTGGTGCACTGAGTAACAATGTAATCTTACCCAGTGTTTGTGCAATACTGAGTAATTACCACTAATCCAGGAACGCGGCCTGCGTTAACAATACAATAGATAATTGAGCCATACCCAGATGTATAATATCCTAATGTTCTAACTAGTACTACACTCTGGGGTTTATTCACCAAACAGTGAATCAAAAAATCACCGCACAACGGATAAATCAATTTATTTATAGTTTGTCAGGTCTTCCGTCAGACATCCCGCTTACCTGTCTGAAGAGCGACGCACTCAGACCGTTATAAAGTGCAAAGAAACCGTCATTTCGGATCACGCTGATCGCCATCCCAGTCATACGCATTTTCACCTCCTGCTGAGTTTGCAGATGGACCTGGTAAGAAGGACAGAGACATGCTGGGGGTCAGAAGACATGCAACGTAATTAGCAGAGCATGAAGGCTTTAATTACCAACACAAAGTTCACAAGACAGAGCTAGCACTGTCCATGCTCCGGATGCCAAGATCACATTTCCACACCGCAATCACGTCCGCCACGACTGCAGGTGGGTGCAATGCTGGGGTGGGTAGTGTAACGAGATCTATACAATAGAGGTCATTTACTGGGCTTATACTTCTTGGGAAATTGACAAGTTGCAGATTTGGATACTGGTTCGATGATTCAGGTTAATACCCCCCAAACAATCTGATTTATTTCCATGTTGCAATCTTTGGCCTAACTTTTTAGACTCAACGGTCAGCCTGGCAAAACTGATGGTTTGGTAAATAAACTCCACAATAGGCAGCTACTTTGGGTTGCAGTCTGCAAAGCCAAGCTGTTAATAAATCCTCAATCTGACATATTTGGGAATTAAAGATCTGAGGAGGTTTTGGGCCCCTTGTCCATTCACCGTATAAAGAATACAAATTCCAAAGGCAGTGAAGCACAAAGGAAGCGATATTTGAAAGATCTTATGAAACTTTACGCAGAGCCTGACGCACAGTCCCTGCAGGCCTAGGCCATCACCTGCACTGGGCCTTATTGCAGGAATTGTGGTCTCTCACGATCTCTCTAAATAAACAAACATTGGGATATTGGTGTGCTCAAATGAAACACACACACTGCTCACTATTCACAATGTAATGGAACGAATGTTGTATTTTAGAGCCATTCGTCCAGAATACAAGCTCATTTAAGCAGGGCCCTCAGCACTCTCCGTTACTGAGCACCCAACCCAACTTGGAAATACTTGTCTGTTAGAATAGGGCTGATGAATGTTTTTCCAGGATAATAATAATAATAATAATAATAATAATAATAATAATAATAATAATAATAATAATAATAATAATATACACATCAACTAAACAAGGCATACAGAACTTTGCTACCTATATGATCCAACTCTGTATATATATACCATGCAGCACACACCTTGAGGAAAGCACTCTGCCCATGTAAATGCAACATACCATGCAGCACACTATGTACACACACTATAAGCAGCACGCTACATACCATGTAAGTTGTAACACACAATATATACACACTAGACACACACACCATGTGAAGGTATACCATACAGAGGTGTCCCCATGCAGTATATACACACACATATATTATATATAGATATACACCCTGTGTACCATGTGGAGGTGTCCCCATACACACAGTATATTTACACCCTGTGTACCATGTGGAGGTGTCCCCATACACACAGAATATTTACACCCTGTGTACCATGCGGAGGTGTCCCCATACACACAGAATATTTACACCCTGTGTACCATGCGGAGGTGTCCCCATACACACAGAATATTTACACCCTGTGTACCATGCGGAGGTGTCCCCATACACACAGAATATTTACACCCTGTGTACCATGCGGAGGTGTCCCCATACACACAGAATATTTACACCCTGTGTACCATGCGGAGGTGTCCCCATACACACAGAATATTTACACCCTGTGTACCATGCGGAGGTGTCCCCATACACACAGAATATTTACACCCTGTGTACCATGCGGAGGTGTCCCCATACACACAGAATATTTACACCCTGTGTACCATGCGGAGGTGTCCCCATACACACAGTATATTTACACCCTGTGTACCATGCGGAGGTGTCCCCATACACACAGTATATTTACACCCTGTGTACCATGCGGAGGTGTCCCCATACACACAGTATATTTACACCCTGTGTACCATGCGGAGGTGTCCCCATACACACAGTATATTTACACCCTGTGTACCATGCGGAGGTGTCCCCATACACACAGTATATTTACACCCTGTGTACCATGCGGAGGTGTCCCCATACACACAGAATATTTACACCCTGTGTACCATGCGGAGGTGTCCCCATACACACAGTATATTTACACCCTGTGTACCATGCGGAGGTGTCCCCATACACACAGTATATTTACACCCTGTGTACCATGCGGAGGTGTCCCCATACACACAGTATATTTACACCCTGTGTACCATGCGGAGGTGTCCCCATACACACAGTATATTTACACCCTGTGTACCATGCGGAGGTGTCCCCATACACACAGTATATTTACACCCTGTGTACCATGCGGAGGTGTCCCCATACACACAGAATATTTACACCCTGTGTACCATGCGGAGGTGTCCCCATACACACAGAATATTTACACCCTGTGTACCATGCGGAGGTGTCCCCATACACACAGTATATTTACACCCTGTGTACCATGCGGAGGTGTCCCCATACACACAGTATATTTACACCCTGTGTACCATGCGGAGGTGTCCCCATACACACAGTATATTTACACCCTGTGTACCATGCGGAGGTGTCCCCATACACACAGTATATTTACACCCTGTGTACCATGCGGAGGTGTCCCCATACACACAGAATATTTACACCCTGTGTACCATGCGGAGGTGTCCCCATACACACAGAATATTTACACCCTGTGTACCATGCGGAGGTGTCCCCATACACACAGAATATTTACACCCTGTGTACCATGCGGAGGTGTCCCCCATGCAGTATACACACACTATATACACACACACAGTATCTATATGGATAGATATACACCCTGTGGAGGTGTCCCCCATACACAGTATATACAGACAGCATACACACAGTATACACACAGTATCTATATTGATAGATATACACACTGTGTACCCTGTGGAGGTGTCCCCCATGCAGTATACACACAGTATACACACAGTATCTATATTGATAGATATACACACTGTGTACCCTGTGGAGGTGTCCCCCATGCAGTATACACACACTATACACACACAGTATCTATATTGATAGATATACACCCTGTGTACCCTGTGGAGGTGTCCCCCATGCAGTATACACACACTATACACACACAGTATCTATATTGATAGATATACACCCTGTGTACCCTGTGGAGGTGTCCCCCATGCAGTATATACACACAGTATCTATATGGATAGATATACACCCTGTGTACCCTGTGGAGGTGTCCCCCATGCAGTATACACACACACAGTATCTATATTGATAGATATACACCCTGTGGAGGTGTCCCCCATACACAGTATATACAGACAGCATACACACAGTATCTATATTGATAGATATACACACTGTGTACCCTGTGGAGGTGTCCCCCATGCAGTATACACACAGTATACACACACACAGTATCTATATGGATAGATATACACCCTGTGTACCCTGTGGAGGTGTCCCCCATGCAGTATACACACACACAGTATCTATATGGATAGATATACACCCTGTGGAGGTGTCCCCCATGCAGTATACACACAGTATCTATATTGATAGATATACACCCTGTGGAGGTGTCACCTTGATGAGGTCCAGCGGGTGAGTGCAGCAGGCCGCCCCGCACGAGGCCAGGCCCCCGAAATACCAGCGGGAGACCGTCCGCTCCGCCATGTCCGCCGCTCTGACACTCACCGGGCCGACCGGGAGTCCGTACTGAGAGCGGGGGCGGGGCCTGCCTGCACGCTGCCACCAATCACAGGCAGCCCAGAGACAGCCACGCCCACACAGCGCTGCCATACCACGGGATCGGCAGCTTAAAGGGCGGGGCTACGATGGGAGGCGGGGCTAGGATGAGGGCGGAGCCGCTGGGGGGAAACGTGCTGCGGCAACTTAAAGGGCGTGACTAGGATGGGGGCGGAGCTACTGAGGGGAAACGTGCTGACTTTACTCAGTCTGTCATTTATTACAATCTGATACATTATACCCTGTGTGTTATATTATATATTATACCCTGTGTGTGATACATTATATATTATACCCTGTGTGTTATATTATATATTATACCCTGTGTGTGATACATTATATATTATACCCTGTGTGTGATACATTATATATTATACCCTGTGTGTGATACATTATATATTATACACTGTGTGTGATACATTATATATTATACCCTGTGTGTGATACATTATATATTATACACTGTGTGTGATACATTATATATTATACCCTGTGTGTGATACATTATATATTATACACTGTGTGTGATACATTATATATTATACCCTGTGTGTGATACATTATATATTATACACTGTGTGTGATACATTATATATTATACCCTGTGTGTGATACATTATATATTATACACTGTGTGTGATACATTATATATTATACCCTGTGTGTGATACATTATATATTATACACTGTGTGTGATACATTATATATTATACCCTGTGTGTTATACATTATATATTATACACTGTGTGTTATACATTATATATTATATATTATACACTGTGTGTGATACATTATATATTATACCCTGTGTGTTATACATTATATATTATACACTGTATTATACATTATATATTATACACTGTGTGTTATACATTATATATTATACATTGTATTATACATTATATATTATACACTGTGTGTGATACATTATATATTATATATTATACCCTGTGTGTGATACATTATATATTATACACTGTGTGTGATACATTATATATTATACCCTGTGTGTTATACATTATATATTATACACTGTGTGTTATACATTATATATTATACCCTGTGTGTGATACATTATATATTATACACTGTATTATACATTATATATTATACCCTGTGTGTTATACATTATATATTATAACCTGTGTGTTATACATTATATATTATACCCTGTGTGTGATACATTATATATTATACACTGTGTGTTATACATTATATATTATACCCTGTGTGTGATACATTATATATTATACCCTGTGTGTTATACATTATATATTATACACTGTGTGTTATACATTATATATTATACCCTGTGTGTGATACATTATATATTATACACTGTGTGTGATACATTATATATTATACCCTGTGTGTGATATATTATATATTATACACTGTGTGTTATACATTATATATTATACCCTGTGTGTGATACATTATATATTATACACTGTGTGTTATACATTATATATTATACCCTGTGTGTGATACATTATATATTATACACTGTGTGTTATACATTATATATTATATATTATACCCTGTGTGTGATACATTATATATTATACACTGTGTGTGATATATTATATATTATACACTGTGTGTTATACATTATATATTATACACTGTATTATACATTATATATTATACCCTGTGTGTGATACATTATATATTATATATTATACCCTGTGTGTGATACATTATATATTATACACTGTGTGTTATACATTATATATTATACACTGTGTGTGATACATTATATATTATACACTGTGTGTTATACATTATATATTATACACTGTGTGTGATACATTATATATTATACACTGTGTGTTATACATTATATATTATACACTGTGTGTGATACATTATATATTATACACTGTGTGTGATACATTATATATTATACACTGTGTGTGATACATTATATATTATACACTGTGTGTTATACATTATATATTATATATTATACCCTGTGTGTGATACATTATATATTATACACTGTGTGTGATATATTATATATTATACACTGTGTGTTATACATTATATATTATACACTGTATTATACATTATATATTATACCCTGTGTGTGATACATTATATATTATATATTATACCCTGTGTGTGATACATTATATATTATACACTGTGTGTGATACATTATATATTATACACTGTGTGTTATACATTATATATTATACACTGTGTGTGATACATTATATATTATACACTGTGTGTTATACATTATATATTATACACTGTGTGTGATACATTATATATTATACACTGTGTGTTATACATTATATATTATACACTGTGTGTGATACATTATATATTATACACTGTGTGTTATACATTATATATTATACACTGTGTGTTATACATTATATATTATACCCTGTGTGTGATACATTATATATTATACACTGTGTGTTATACATTATATATTATACACTGTGTGTGATACATTATATATTATACACTGTGTGTGATACATTATATATTATACCCTGTGTGTGATATATTATATATTATACACTGTGTGTTATACATTATATATTATACCCTGTGTGTTATACATTATATATTATACACTGTGTGTGATATATTATATATTATACACTGTGTGTTATACATTATATATTATACACTGTGTGTGATATATTATATATTATACACTGTGTGTGATACATTATATATTATACCCTGTGTGTTATACATTATATATTATACACTGTGTGTGATATATTATATATTATACACTGTGTGTTATACATTATATATTATACCCTGTGTGTGATATATTATATATTATACACTGTGTGTTATACATTATATATTATACCCTGTGTGTTATACATTATATATTATACACTGTGTGTTATACATTATATATTATATATTATACCCTGTGTGTTATACATTATATATTATACCCTGTGTGTGATACATTATATATTATACCCTGTGTGTTATATATTATATATTATACACTGTGTGTGATATATTATATATTATATATTATACACTGTGTGTGATACATTATATATTATATATTATACACTGTGTGTTATACATTATATATTATACACTGTGTGTGATATATTATATATTATACACTGTGTGTTATATATTATATATTATACACTGTGTGTGATACATTATGTGGCGAAACCAACCTCGCCACTGTGAACTGGAGAAGCCTGGTTGCTCGCCTGCTCCCTTTGGACTATGTCCCTGCAGGTTAAACCGTTTATTTCCCCTGCAGAAAGGCTTATTTGTGTGATCTGAGTGCCATTCATCTAATAATGTGCACTCAGATCCCAGCTATCTGGGTATATGTGAAATGTCTGTGTGTTATGTGTAAATGTGACTTTATGTATTTTAAAGTGTTTTGTGTCTTTTTGCAACCATGTGCTTAATGGAGTCTTGTGTCTATCCTGGGAGATAATTGAATTACTTATCTCCAGGATAGAAAACTCTGAAACTGGTTTGGGCCAGAAAGCCATGCTTCATTTAGTCACAAAGGACTTTTTACTAACTTTTGAACCCCTTGTCTGATTTGTGCCATTTTTTAATATGTTGTTCCCCTGAATGGATTGATTGTGAATATGTAATTTTTATGTGAATGTGATGTATGGTTTTAGAGTTATGAAAGTTGGGTAGAAAGTATGTTTTAACTGTATGTGTAATTGAGTTTCCTCTCAGGATAAGGGGAGGGAATATGTGGGATGTAACTGTGATGTGATTGGTTGTTTTGTAACGCCCTGTGGGCTGTACTATGTTTGTGATTTGGGAATAAAAGAGACTGTATGTGACAGTACAGGGAGTTCCTGTTTTAACCCTCAAAGTGAAGTGTCATCTCATTATTGGGGGAAGGATTTATTGTATGCTGTTCCAGTTTGACTGCTAGGAGAGTAAACCTATTCGTATGGTTCCTATTCAGCTGTCTACAGCATTCATATGCTTGAGAGGATTCATATGCTTCTCCGGTTCGGTGGTTGTGGTGTCTGCTGCAGTGCTTGGAGTCCTCAGGAAGCGCTAGGAGCATCTTTCAACGGAGGTACCCAGTCGGGGTGCCAGGCGATCCGTTACACATTATATATTATACACTGTGTGTGATACATTATATATTATATACACTGTGTTTTATATATTTTATATTATATATTATAAATTATATTCTATATACACAATATGTTATATTTTCTACATACTATAAATTATATTCAGACATTTTTTATGCTAAATGTTTCATATTATATTCTATATACACTATATATTATTTATACTATATTCTATATGTTATATACATCTACTAAATATACTATCTGTGGCGGAACCAGCCTCGCCACTGGGCATTGGAGAAGCCTGGTTGCTCGCCTGTTGCCTTTGGATTATGGCCCCATGTTAAAAGGCTTGATTTTCCCCTGCAAAGACACGAAAGCCGGGTCATTCGGTGCTTGCCCTGTTTGAGCAGTGATACCCCAGATAGCTGTGCCATGGAGCCCATTCGTATAATGAAAGACTATGGGAAAGACTTTGGCTCCATGGCAATTGAACTGTATATGTGTGATCTGAGCGCCATTCAGTAATAATGTGCGCTCAGATCTGAGCTATCTGGGGATATGTTGATTGTATCTGTTTTATGCAATAGCTGCACAGTTATATATATTTTTATGTATTTTATTGTATTTTAATGCCATGTGTTCAATGGAGTTTTGCCTCTGTCCTTGGAGATAATTGGATTACTTCCCAATTATCTCCAGGATAGAAGACTCTGTGGAACTTGTTTTGGGCAGAAAAGCCATGCTTCATTTGGTCACAAAGGACTACGATCTATCTTTTGAACCACTAAATCAATTTGTATGATTTTGACGTATGTTGGTATTTGGAGTATGCTGAAAATATAAGTTTTATGTGAATGTGATGCATACTTTTAAAGTTATGAATATTGTGTAAAACTGTGTATTTTTCTGCCTGTGATAATTATATTAACCCATTGTGTAAGGTAATTGTATCACAGGCAGAGGGGAGGATTTTGTGTGGGAGTGTCTGAGTGTATTGTACGT